AGGAAAATATTCCAGAACAAAGAACATGAGTATCCAGATTGAAAGAACTGCCTAATATATGAAAATAGACATTCATGGAGGCACATCATTATAAATTTTAGAATGCTGGGGGCAAAAAGATGAATGTAAAACTTTCTGATCAGGAAGTCTGTCTCCTATAAGATTCGTAATGTTGCCATATTTTTCAAAAGCAATACTTGAAGCTAGAAGTCAATGGAGTAAAACCATAAAAGTCAGACTTTTTTTTCAAATCTAGAATTCTATTCCCTGTCACATTAGCAATAAACTTTATAGCTAGATTTAATACTTTTTCAGTCATGCAGGCATCAACAAATTGACTTCACCTTTCCCAGCAGCTAATGAAATAAATGTTCCCATGGCCTTTTCCCCTGCTCTATCCCTAAACTATGAAAGATAAGATGAACAAACAAAAGATAGAAGATCTAAGCATAGGAATGCTACATAAGAGAGAGTCTAAGACAATGCCTAAGATTATGTGGATTAAGATCCCACATGAGTGCACAGAATCCATAGAGAGCAATAAATCCAGTTGAAGGAAGTCAGAAACCTCTATAAAATATTTGAATATATGGAAAAGATTTTAAAACTTTAGGAGTATATAGAAATACATTAGTGATATATATATATAAGTAATGATTTTGCTTGATATATATATACACATACATAAAGCAAATATATATCAAACAAAATCATTACTTTAAAAAATTATCTTAATCATTTATATATTTATTCAATAAGTATACTGAATGCCCATTAGAGTTTAGCATACTACAAGGAAAATCATTTTTAGAGCAGTTAAGTTATAATCAATTCTCATTAAAACTTATTGTCAGAATCAAAATACTTCTAATTACTAGCTATATGAGATGGGCCAGTTACTTACATTCTGAGCACCTTTAAAACAAAATTATGAAATGAGGATAATTTCTTTGCTCAGACTATTGTGACAATTAAAGTAGACCATTTGTTTCCTATTACTTTGATACTCTTATTAGTCACACACCCAGACATGCTATTTAAAGTGAATTTAGTGTATTTTAACTGGTTCTAGATACAGATGCTCCTTGACTTTTAATGGGGTTCCAATTCCATAAACCCAACATAGTTTGAAAATATCATAAGTCAAAAATGCCTTTAATATACCTAACCAACCGAGCATCATAGTTTAAGTCTTGTCTTCCTTAAATGTTCTCAGAATACTTACATAAGCCTACAGTTGTACAAAATAATCTAACACAAAGTTTATTTCATAATAACTGAATATCTCATGTAATTTTTTTTTTTTTTTTTTTTTGAGACGGAGTTTCACTCTTGTTGTCCAGGCTGGAGGTCAGTGGTGCGATCCCAGCTCACTGCAACCTCCGCCTTCCAGTTTTGAGAGATTCTCCTGCTTCAATCTCCCAAGTAGCTGGGATTACAGGCACCCACCACCATATCTGGCTGTATATATATATATAGTATTTTTAGTAGAGACGGATTTTCACCATGTTAACGAGGCTGGCTCAAACTCCTGACCTCGTTATCCGCCCTCCTTGGCCTCCCAAAGTGCTGGGATTATAGGCGTGAGCCACCGCGCCCAGCCCTCATGTAATTTTATGGAATACTGTACTGAAAGTGAAAAAAAGAATGGTCTTGAGAGTACCTGAAGTATGGTTTCTATTGAACACATTTTGCTTTTGTACTATCATAAAGTCAAAAAATCACTAAGTTGAACCATCTGAAGTTGGGGACCATATGTGTAAACATTAAAATTGCTAGCATTATTGAAAACTACAATATTATTGAATTTGAGACATTAAGACTTGGGCTAAAAAAATACATAATAAAGTTTTTTAGGCATTTTAAATGTAATTATATTTTAGGCAAATTTTTTTGCAACCTTTTTGCTACACACATTTTAAGTAAAGCATATCTTCATACAAGTTTAGAACTTAATTAGAAATTGAATTGCTTATGAATGTATCATATCTGTAAATTAAATAATATGTATAAAGTTTCCATTGAGAAGAAATAGTAGTGCTTTGCAAATGTTAAAAAAATTACAATCTCATATTGAGCAATATGGTTCTGAACAACAATTGAGATGAGATTAAAATCAAGGTTGAAAGCACTTGTATTAATTAAACAGTTCCTGGAAGACTTGGGGTCAAATGTTGGTTTTGATCTCTGTTAATCTGAGTAGACACCAGACCATATAATAAATGTGACCTACTTGATTTTGCAAACATTAGAGTTCCAACTCTTCATTGCTCAAGATATCATGATTTTTGTTGCATTTGTTTGATGTTTCTACTCTGTTAAACTTGTAAATAAAAGCTGTGTTACATATTAACAATGAAAGAGAAAGAAAATATTTGTATAATTTAACTTAGTTCCTGGTACAATCATCAATTTATCAATTACATCTAAAAATAATCTTAAAATGTTTAAAGACTAGAAATCTTGACCAATAAGTACCTTCTTAGATCCTATGATGACGTTAACAGCATTCATAAAAGCTAACTTCAGGCACACTTTATGCAGAACTGTATTTCCAACAAGCTATATATAAGTCATACTCTATTTTCTCATTGACTACAAAATGAATTCCAAGAGGCTTTATCATCACATGCAATTTATTCTTAGAAGGCTGTCGTTCTTAAGACTCATTTTTGAGTTCTTCTTAAGTACCAGGCAGAGGTCAAGGCCACAAACATTTAAAAAAAAAAAAAATTCTAAGTTATGTAAGCAGAAAAAAGAACTTATTAAAAGGAAATTGGTTAGTGCCCAGAAATGTGGAGGGCTGAAAAACCAAGCACAGTATTTGAGCAAGAATGACCAGACACAGTGGTTCACTCCTGTAATTCCAGTATTTTGGGAGGCTGAGGTGGGTGGATCACCTGAGGTCAAGAGTTCGAGACTAGCCTGGTCAAATGGTGAAACCCCGTCTCTGCTAGAAATACAAAAATTAGCTGGGCATGGCAGCTGGTACCTGTTATCCTAGCTATTCAGGAGGCTGAGGTAGGAGAATCACTTGAACCCAAGAGGCAGAGGTTGACAGTGAGCCAAGATCACACCATTGTACTCCAGCCTGTGCAACAAGGGCAAAACTCTGTCTCAAAGATAAAATAAAATAGAATATGAGCAAGAGTAAAGAAATTAAGCAGCGAAGCTCTAAACTACTAGCAGAGCTCAGAACTGTTTCATCAAGGGTGACAATGTCACAGCTTCCCCTGATGACCTACAAACTGGTTGTTTCTGTTTCTATTGCAAGCTGCCATTACTTCCTTGGTTCAATAGTTTGTGATTCGGTCTAGAGTATTTCAAGAATTAGGTAAATGTACATTCATAGGGACAAAAAAAAAAAAACTATGAAAAAGAACGTCTAGCATTTAGGGCTTCTGTAGTAGAAGACTGTTCTGCATCCCCTCAAGATATTTACAATGGGGTAAAACCAAATGTACTAAAGGAGTTCAGGTACTGGCAAACAAAGGATGACAACTGTTTATGCCATCTTGTTTCTAGCACCTGAGATCAGTAAGGAATGATTTACAAATTAGCACATACCCAAGAGAGCATAAGAGAACCTTCCATTGCTATCCCTTGTAAACTTATTGTCATGTGTATAACCTCATTTTTGTTTATTGCCTTGATTTCTTCAAATTTTTATTTGTTTAATGATAGATATACCTATACACTAACATCGGTGCTACAAGAAAGGGAGTTTTGTTTCTACGCTTTGTTGATCTTTCAAGCTGACTACTTACACATGTATATCCCCTCATAACTAAAACACACATGATATTGACTACACTACAATTTCTGCCTCTACTCAACCATGTGGTTTCAGTGATAGTGATATTGTTTGGTTCTGTGTACCCACCCCAATTTCATCTCAAATTGTCATCTCCACATGTCGAGGGAGGGACCTAGTGGGAAGTGATTGGATTATGGGGGTGAGTCCCCCATGCTGTTCTCATGACAGTGAGTTTTCATGAGATCTGATGGTCTAAAAATGTGCCACTTGCTCCTTACTCTCTCCTGCTGCCATGTGAGATGTGCCTTTCTTCCATGATTGTAAATTTCCTGAGGCCTCCCCAGCCATGCTTTCTGTACAGCCAGTGGAACTGTGGGTCAATTAAACCTCTTTTATTTGTAAACTACCCAGTCTCAGGTAGTTCTTTATAGCAATGTGAAAATGGACTAATACAGATAGCTTTAGTCTAGTTAGTTTACATGATCTTCTCTCCTTACCCAGTGAATTGCTCTCAACAGTTGATCAAAGCCGGGCCAATGATAATTATTGCACAAGATTTGTTTTCTAATAGCATTGCAGGAGAAAAAGTATTTCATTTAAATCTGAGACTCAGGCTCCATCAATGATGACTGTGGATTCTTCCAGTGAAACAGAAACATGCATGCATGAGGTGTGCCCTCCAGAAAAATAAAAAAGTCTTGAGGGCATCCTGATCAATTTGTTCCTCCTCTTCTTACTATTTAGTTTTCAATCATTTCTTCAATTACATGTGATACACTGATGTCTTTCAATGAATTATCTTTCTTGCCAAAACAAGTTCTATCAATTTTTCTGTCATTTGCAATTCAAATTGCTATGGCTAACTTACATTGAATAACACCTCAAAGTACCTGCTTCACTGAAGGATTTGAGGTAGAAAAATCTTACTTCTCCATCTTCCTTTTTCTGTTTGGTGCAAACCTTCTGTTCTACTCCCCAGGTGGGGGTAGTGTTGAGAAAATTCTCCTTCTCTATTTGAGCTATTCAAAGAAAAGAAAAGTAATCTGGTAGGAACATGACAACTTTAACAAACGATATTAACTGTGGTTATGTCTACTGTTCCTAGAAACATTAAAAAAAAAATCTTTTTCTTTCCCTTGGGATTGGTGTCTTGAATATACAGAAGAATAAAAGGCTCACTCTCCTCTTTCCATATTGGTAGTTGCACAGCAGGTTTAAAGCCTATTTTTCTCTTGTTTTCCAGTAGCGACGTGTGTGAGGTTGGCTGAGTTATGGTCATGGAATCTGTTTTGTGGAATTCACTCTTCTCACAGGTAGGTCAAAAAGAAAAAAAAATGGTATGGATAAAGAGAACTTCTCCATCTGATTGCAGCTGTATTCTCTAATTCAGATTTAAAAGAAAGTCTTCACATATGTGAGGACATTAAACCCTCAGCGACAAAGTTTACACCATGATCCTCATTAAGTTCCCTGAATTTTATCTCTAAAGGCTAATGTTTAAGGCCAGGTGGAGAGAGGATTAATTGGCATTTGTGGCAACACAACAATATTAAAAGAGTTATCTGTATTATCAGTTTAATATACACTCACAGATATTCAGGATTTTGTCCATGTTTTGATACTTTCTTCTCCTTCAATAGGAATCAAATGTTTTTTAATTAATAAGAAAAGAAAAACACTATCTTTTTTCCATGTTTTATATGGAAAAAGCAAACATCATCTATTTTCTATCACTCATCACAGAATCAGCAAATGTTTTCTGATCAGTCACTGTAATGTCAGGTTCTGTGTGCAGTGCTAGGAAACAGATAAAACATATATGCCTCCCCTCAATGTGTTCAGGCCATAAAAAAAAAAAAATCAGAGATTTTTCTCTTTTATCAGAGATTTCTTTTAGGATACAGGGAAAATGTATTATACTCAATTGCTATAAAAATGTCTACTTATAATAGCAAGTATCTCACTATGGGTATAAAACACTGAAATGTCTTTTATAATATGTTGATATTATAAAACATATGAAGGAGCACAGACTGGGCATTTGGCTTGTACCTTTTTTCCAGGATAAACTGGATAAGTGTCGTTGCATGAATTATTTAATCTTTGAAGGCTTTGATCTTCTCATCTATAAAATGGGAGTAGATTTTGTTGTACAGATTAAATAGGCAAGCATATGTCCTGTAAATGTCAATGCAGACACTTATGCTAAGTGAGATCAGATGGAATGTTGGTGATTTTCCACTTAGGTCATGCATTCTGTGAAGTAATAGGATCCTCAAGTGAGTTAAAAATGGTTATTAAGAGCAAAAGCATCTTCCTATTTTGATGGGTAATGCACGAATATGCATACAGTATATAAAAAGATACACAGTTTATCTGTAGTACTCAAATTTCATAGGGGAGGTGATTGAGAAAACAATATTTTAAAAGACCATTTATATGGGGTGAATTTAAAATGTTGAGAAGCTGACCTAGGGAATAATCTAGTTTCTTCCTCAAATACTTATAAGACCATGTGAATATTACTTCTAGGTTCCATTTCTAAGATTTATGAAGGAATTCTTAATCGAGCTTTTCTTATCTACCTTATAGGGTTGTAGTGAAGATCAAATGATAATGTCTATGCAAATATTTTGAAGTATAAAAAGTCCTACACATTATCAAACATCATTATTGACTTTCTCCCATAATGGGCAAAAATAAAATACAGTTCTTAAACAGAAAATATAATATCTCACTATTTGAGACAACTCATATTCCCAGCTTCTTTACAAACGTAGGTGATGCTGGTGACCATTTTGAAATGTGGTTGTTCTACTTGACAGATTTAGGTATGTTATTAAATACACTTTAAAAGAAGACTGCCTATTTCTCAACTTAGGAAAATAGTATAGGAAGCAATTCTCTTTTCCTTCAAGTACATCAGTTTTTACTTTTCAGGTCTTGTGTCCCATCCTACACTCCTCAAATCACACATATTATCCTTGAATTTCTAATGTAGTCTAGAATTTGCTTGATCACCCAGATCATTTTTCTCTATTTCAGTATTATTTCTACTTTTATCTAGTTTATTTTCCAATCAAAAAAAAGTATTGAAGACCATTATTTGGACTCTGTCCTAGACATTGGATATACAATAGTGACTAGAACAGACAATATTCCTAGCCATATGATGCTAACAATGGTAAATTTTACATTAGTTAGGTGCTCCTGGAAAACAACAAAAATTAAGAAATCCTCTCATCCTTTCGTGTTTTCAGATAGGGCTGCTACTATAAGGCACAATCCTGCCCCATATGAACTATGTGTATAAGATTCATGGATGCCCCATTGTTTACCTATGACAAGGCTAGACGCAGGCCCTCCAAATTTCCTTTTGTTCATAAATATTAGCTGGACTGCTTGCCTCCATTGACCAATCTGGACAAAATAACTGCTATTTTTACTTGACCAAATTTTAGCTAGGTTTCTCTCCTTCTTCAAGACCCTGAACTTGAATCCAGCTTCAGTCAGAGGCAGCCTACAACCCATCCTTTAGGACTTTCTTGAGAATAGCTGATCTTAGCATAGAAGAGTCTGTCCTCTACCATCCTACCAAACAACTCTTTCATCCCACCCTCTGGCATCCATTGAGACTTCTTTACTGTTCCCTGTAAATGGAAAGCCCTTTTCTGACAAACCTTTCAGATCCTTCCAGTTCTCATGGTCAGAGTATTCCCTTCAATGAAATCATTCCCCCAATCTATTGCAGTAGTCTTCTTCTCTCCTATTGCTAATATATGTTTGAGTCTTTCCTACCCTCACTCTGGATTTTCTTTTGACAGTGATTATATACCAATGGATGTGAATTATTGTGCATAATATTAAGTTATCCAATATCTAATCCTGAGCATGAAGTTTATAATGTTCTTTTGAAATTTAAGGACATTTGTAAGTATCCTCTAGTTTCATTTCTGCTCTCTATTTCTAACAGGTGACACATGGGCATTTGACCTAGATGGAAAACAATGTAAATTTATTTCAAGGACAATATTATCAGATTGTGATGGCTATTGGGAATCCAGTATTAAGGGTTCCAACCCAAAATGCATTCTCTGGAAGAAATGATGATCTGACTACCAATGTTTTTTTTTTTGTTTTTTGCTTGTTTATTTGTTTTTTGGTTTGGTTGGTTGGTATAGACTCACATATGATTCATTTATACCATCCTCTATAAACCTCAATCCAGGTTTTTCCCAAATTATTGTATTAATTTCCATGACACTTTCATCTTATTTTTTAATTCCCATTGCCAAAACACATGGATGCTTTCCCCTATTTGACCTATTAGTTGCCTGGAAGCCTACCAGTAAGAATAAATCTCTCTCTCTCTCTCTCTCTCTCACACACACACACACACACACACACACAGAGTCATTCCTCCTAGATTATCTGGATTCTTAGTCTTTGTTTATATGTTTCCTTCATGGTCTTGTTTTTTGAAAATATAATAGATAAATTTGGCCTATTCTTCTCGGGTCAGGTAAACCCATTAAAGCCAAAAACAAAAACAACTTTTTGACCCACAACACATAACTTTTACTTCCAAGCAACTATGTTGAAGATCACTTTAATTATCATCAGCTACTAACAACTATGTTATTCTTTTGACCTGAAATTTATAGCTGCTCAAAAACCTTAAGGTGGTAACATAAAATGAAAGCAAGTACCGATTTGAAATATGGAGATTACAAATTGGGAATTTACAGCTGAAATCCACGTCTGTGCTGAAGCCAGTGGAAGTGAAGAAGGGAAACTGTTGTGGTAAAAATGAAAAAGTACAGAAGGGTGATATTTTTACTAATTAGTAAAAGAGCTTAAGTTTGGGTCTGCTTCTTAGTTTTTCCTTTTGCAATTATTTGGAATTTTTCTTTTTTTCAAAGAAAATGAATAATTTAAATATGAAGCAACATTTACAAAGGAGACAGAATGCTTTCATGTTCTTGCAACTGTCTGTATGTAAAGATAACCAGGATTCAATAAGTTATAAATACAGATTAAATGAAGGACATGTGAAGATTACCTGGTATCCACTATCTTTTCACTTATTAAAGGTAAGGATTAGTGTTTTACAACTTTTCACTGAAGTACACTTGGCTTTCCCTGAACCTCTTTTTCATTCTGAATATCACATTCCTTCAACATGAAAAATGGAATGACAGCAATAAAACTTTTTCTTTCCTTTTTTGCGATTTGCAGAACATCTGAGAATAGGGAGCCATCTGCTACTATCATGTAAACAGGCCAAAAGGACTGGGCAGAGGAGCACAAGTCTGGTATTACAGCCACATCTGCTGGCCCAGATCTCAGCTGGGCTCTTGCCCCAGAGGTATGGAGGACCCAAGGACACCAATTCTGGCAAGTATTCTGGGGTCATGCTGGTGTTCTGCAGAACAAGGAACAGCTGTAAGGAGCAGGGGTGATACAGCAGGTTGTGAAATGAGATATGGGCTTATGTCAGAGTCATTAAGCATTTCTGATAAATGGGCTGCAAATAATTGCTGGTTCTACTAATTAATTCATTTGAGTTGCTGAAATCCTCAGGCCTGGCTGTGGTTGTTAGCAGAGCAGAGTGATACTTCAACATGGAGAGAATTTATTTCTCCCTCAACTAAAGAAGTTGGATTTGGGCTTAGTCATTGATGCAGCTTTCCAAAATATATCAACAATAAAAATATTAAATAATTCAAAAATACTTTTAATGCCTAGAAATATTTGAGTAGTGATTTTGGGAATCAGAAGAGTAATCAGAGTGCAAATTTTCATAAATTGCTATTGGATGGCCTGTGGAATGTACCAAATGCAAGCAATAGGCCTACATAGAATTATCATAGTTTTAATTGGCTACGTATACACTTCTGCCCTAAAAGGGAAGCTAAGCCATCTAAATGGCAAGATTAGGAGAATGTAAACATATGTTCCCACATACTTCAGAAATAAATTCTGAGGTTTTCATATATATATACACATAAATATATACGTGTGTATATATGTGCATTATGGATTTGTGTATATATATACACATACATACATACACATAACTTTTTTCTTATTTTAAATGAGAATTCTTTCTTAAGAGGAAAAAATATTTTTCTCCAATATGTGTCAATGTATCTCAATGGATTGGTATTATATAAAGGAAATTTAAAGCGTATATTTTATATACATAATCAAAAATCCCTTATTTAAAAATAACTATAAAAGCATCTATTTTTAAATATATGCTTTAAAATATACTTAAATTTTAAAATGTATTTGCTACATTAATTTAAATTTTAATAATTTAATTTAAAATATATTGTCTACTTTTTCTTTTTAATTTGATTAGACAAATAATATATGTACATTTTTGTGGCAGGTCTCACTCTTCTGTCACCCAGGCTATAGTGCAGTGAAGCAATATAACTCACTGTTTTTTCTCTAAAAATCGAGTGCAGAAATAGATTCGAAATTGAGAGTCCCTGAACCCTCACCTTTTCATAGAGATAAGCATAGAGATAACCGTAAATTATGCTTTCATAGAGATAACCGTAAATTATTATGCTTTATTAAACAAATGTGGAATTAAAATTTATATAGTTTTGGAATATGTGTATATTATGTACATGTATACAGTACAAATATATTTATATGTGTTACATACTATGCTTTTCCTTGTGCTCATTTAATAGTATTTTTAATCATCTTCCCATGTCCATTGATTTAGCTATCTTTTTAATGGCTTTAAAATACTTTATTTTATAGATAACTATGATATTTTAAATTAAAACCCGTAAATGGGCATTCAGATAATTTCCAACTTTTTATTGTCACAAACAATTTTTTCAGCTGGGAGTGGTGGTTCACACCTGTAATCCCACCACTTCGGGAGGCCAAAGTGGGCAGACTGCTTGAACTCAGGAGTTCAAGACCAGACTAAGCAATATAGGGAGACCTCGTCTCTACAAAAAGTATAAAAATTAGCCACACGCAGTGGTAGGCCCCTGTAGTCCCAGTTACTTGGGAGGCTGAGGTGGGAGGATTGCTTGACCCCAGGGGGTGAAGGTTGTGGTTGCGATAAGCAGAGATCATGCCACGGGACTCTAGCTTGGGTAATAGAGTCAGACACTGTCTGAAAACAAAAAACAATTCTTTGTTGATAATCTTAATACATAACATCTGTATATATGTGTGTGCTATTTCTTTTGAATAAATTGCTGAAAGTAGAATGTTCTGCAAACATACATGCACATAATTTTAATATTCAGTCACCAACTGATACTGTTTGGTTTAATGAGTTAAAACAAAAAGGTGACAGAAGTGATAAAGTGAAGCAGTTAAAATAGGAGGTAATGATATTTTGTAATAAAATATGCTTGCCATCCATTTTTAATGCTCTTTATTAATTAGGATTAACTTTCTCTGAATACTGACTTCCCTTAAAAGTGTGTGTTAATTATTACCTATTGAATAGGCACCATCATTTAAAGGTGGATGTGTGGTATGTAACATAGAGGACCAAAAGGGTGGGCTCAATGTAAAAGTTTTGAATAGTTATTAGGCACATAAATGCAAAGATTGGGAAAATTAAGATATCCTGGCCAGGCTCAGTGGCTCATGCCTGTAACCCCAGCACTTTGTGAGGCCAAGATGGGTGGATCACGAGGTCAGGAGAGCAAGACCATCCTGGCTAACATGGTGAAACCGTCTCTATTAAAAATACAAAAAAAATTATCCGGGCATGCTGGCGGGCACCTGTAGTACCAGCTACTAGGTAGGCTGAGGCAGGAGAATGGTGTGAGCCTGGGAGGCAGAGCTTGCAGTGAGCCTAGATTGTGCCACTGCACTCCAGCCTAGGCGACAGAGTGGGACTCCATCTCAAAAGAAAAAAAAAAGATACCCTTCCAACACCTAAATTATTGACCATATTTCCATTGGATTTTAGCTAACAAGAAATAATTGGTTTTTTGTTTGTTTTTTCTTTTTTGAGACAGAGTTTTGCTCTTGTCGCCCAGGCTAGAGTGCAATGGCGTGGTCTCAGCTCACTGTAACCTCCATCTCCTAGGTTCAAGTGATTCTCCTGCCTCAGCCTCCTGAGTAGCTGGGATTACAGGTTTGGCTATGTTGGCCAGGCTGGTCTGGAACTCCTGACCTCAAGTGATCCGCCAGCCTCGACCTCCCAAAGTTCTGGGATTATAGGCGTGAATTGCCATGCCTGGCCAAAATGAGTTAGTTTAAACAAAAAGTAAATCTAGCTAAATTCACTTCAAAAAACAAACAAAAAACTTAAAAGAGTCTACACTGGCAGATAATTAGTACTGAAATAAGGTGTTAGCCTTGCAGGAGAACTAACAATTGTTCTGGGAGAAATGGATAGAAACAGAGAGAGTATTTCTGCTTTATTTTATTTTTTTTGAGACGGAGTCTCGCTCCGTCGCCCAGGCTGGAGTGCAGTGGTGTGATCTCAGCTCACTGCAAGCTCCACCTCCCACGTTCACACCATTCTCCTGCCTCAGCCTCCGGAGTAGCTGGGAATACAGGCACATGCCACCACACCCAGCTAATATTTTGTATTTTTAGTAGAGACGGGGTTTCGCCGTGTTAGCCAGGACGGTCTCGATCTCCTGACCTCATTATCCGCCTGCCTCAGCCTCCCAAAGTGCTGGGATTACAGGCGTGAGCCACCGCGCCCGGCCTCTGCTTTATTTCTTAACCTGAGTAGTCAATCCATCACTCTCTTATATGTGCATGAAAATGTACCTTTCTGGCTCTTCTCAACTTTGCATAAAATATTTAAAGTATTCAGAAGTCATATCAATAAAATGTAGCTTATGGAAATGTTTTATAATTATGTGTAAGATCAGTACAACCAGACATTTATTTAAGGACATGTATTTAACAGAGGAAAAGGACATCTTTCTGTGTAGCATATCTATGTTTTTTGTCCTTCTTTTGTTCTCCATAGCTAGTTACTGGACACTAGCCATCAAAAAACCAATTGACTAATTATTCACAACTCAGGAGGCATGAATGCTTTTTAGATTTTCAAGATTACTACTCCATTTCCTAATCAAAAGCAGCTGGATGAAATTTTCCCAGGGGACATTAACTCCTAAATTTTCCAAAGTAGCACCTGGAGACTTAAAATAGCCGCTGTATTTTTCAAGCACTGTATTGTTTTGATCTCATCTGTTATTTAAATGATCTAAAACTTTATGCTCTTGCATTGCAAGTTGATAAATGTGCAAGAATATTCCAAAAAAAAAAAAAAGTTGTCCAAAGATCAAGTTACTGAAATTCCAGTATATGGTCCCCAGGAAAAGATATTCTTTTCCTAGTGACTCTGCTTATACAACTAAAAGTTTTATTTACCTAACATGTCTCTTGAATTGGGTGCTTAAAAATCTCTTGATGTCACAGAAAGTACTATAATTTAGCTACTTTGAAATAATTCAAAGCCAGGTTCAAATTTCAGTCCTGTGAATTATTAGTTATATGGCTTTGGGCAAGTTATCATAACCTCTTTGTACCTCAGTTTTGTTCTTTATTATGTTTGGGCCTGTGAAATAAGTTGAAGACAAAAACACTTTTTTTCAATTTAACATGAAAATAATATTCTTAGGTTGGAAATTGAGCTCAAACAACTAACAAATTTGCTTAATGTATCCATTTCTATTAAGAAATAAGATTCATCTGGGTCCTAATTTATTTGCAGCATACATAATATATCTCTAGATAAATGATTTTGACACATCAAAATCTTCAGTTTTAGTATATTAGAAGAAATATCCAATTTTAAAAACTAGTTTATTTAACATACAACCTTTCTGAATCCAACTGTAGAATTTGTATTGCCAGGGTTTCCTATTTATAGAGCTAAATATAATGCTTTTACATATAATAATAAAATCCTCAACATTTATTATGCAATTTTATTATCAGACATTCTACGAGTTTCGTATTTTACTAACTCACCTTGTGAGGTTAGCTATCATCATGATTCCTGGTTTCCAGATGAGAAAATTGAGAAACAGAAACTTTTTGAAACTCACCCAAGTTAATAGTTAGTGCATGTCAAAGTCATGTTTCATTCTCAGGTGTACTGTCTCCTTAGCATAAGCCTTAGTCATTAGGCTTCTTTGCTCACTTTTACTGAGACTAAAGGAGTTGTATTTTTAGCAAGTTTAAATGTACATCATTGATTATTGGAATCATATTTTCCACTGACTTTTACCTGTCTATTTTTTGTTAGAAATGTCTACTTATGTGTGCTATTTATTCAAATTGAGACACAAATTAAACATTCCCAATTGAGTTACATTATCATAAATTTTTTAACTGGGTAAACAATTCCTTTAAAAGCCTATAGGAAGAACTTTA